TCCTTGTGCTCGCGTAACCTGCTGACGTGTTCCTCGCCTCTTTTCAGTCGATCCGGCAAAAGACCCAAATGCGGCCGGGGATCCTTTCACAACCCTTTTCCTTGCCAGACTAGTGAGCCTCATTGCTTGGTGGGAGAGCCGGATCCAGTACTAACTCTTGTCGACTCTTTCTTCACAGCCTTACGACCTTACGGAAAGGGATCTTGCTCGAGAATTTGACGCATATGGACCCATCGAGAAGATCAGGATAGTCAAGGACAAGGAGGGGAAACCGCGGGGGTATGCCTTTATCGTCTACGAGCGCGAGAGAGACATGAGGAGTTAGTGTCCATGCGTGCATACATCTAGCATACGTTTCTCCGTCGAAGAATCTCGGTTATCGTCGCCAGTCGATTAGCTGACAGAGCCATTTTTACACCTTCATCTCTTCAAACGCTTGCTCCGCATTAGCCGCATACAAGGAAGCGGAAGGCATGAAGCTCAATGGCAGAAGGATAATGGTGGATGTAGAGCGCGGGCGGACAGTGAAGGACTGGAAGCCGATGAGGTTGGGTGGCGGCCTTGGTGGTTCTACGAGAAAGAAAAAAGAGCCTCGAGCAGTAGTCGAAGCACCTGCATTTGGCGGCGGCTGTGAGTTTGCACATTTCGAAGCATAAGCGTCTGACGTACTCGCTGACACTTCCTAGCCCTCATGTCTCTCATCATCTCCGCTCTGCGATACGCGCAGTTGGGATGCGAGGGGGCTTCGGGGGGAGAGGCGGATTCAGAGGAGGCTTTGGAGGACGCGGCGGCGGCTTCGGAGGACCTCCGAGAGGCGGCTTTGCACCACGTGGAGGGTTCGCACCTCGCGGTGGATTTGGAGGTGGAGGATTTGGGGGACCGCCAGGCGGAGGATATGGAGGCGCTCCTTCAGGACCAGGAGGCGGGTTCGGTGGTCCTCCGCGCGGGGGATTCGGTGGTCCATCCGGTAGGGGAGGTTACGGAGGCGGGTGAGTTGAAGTCCAGTACCCAATGCCTCTCCCGCGTAGCTTGCTGACGTTTCATTTACTTGCGACTCCTCTTGTCTTTGAAGCCCTCCCGGTGGGGGCTATAGCGGTCCTCCAATGGGTGGTGGAGGAGGAGCCGGCTACGACTATGGCCCGCCAGCCAAACGTGGCAGGTATTGAGCACACGAACAAGTTTCGGAACAGCCATCTAGTTGGAGGCCTGCAAGGGCATCTTACGTAATGTCCACCATCTTCGATGTTTGCTCAAGCCGTGTGGCGTGGTAGGGATGCCATGCGTCTTTAAAGCGCGTGTGTAGCGCATCCTGGCAGAGCTGCTGGGCTTCGCCCACTTCAGGTCTAGCAGACACGGACGGATCACGCACAGCAGGTCATGTGGTGCCCTCGAGCACATGCGCGGTGATACTTTCTGACGGCTATCGTGAACAGTAGCTGCTCCCATCAATTTCGTTCGCCACTGACCCAGCGATGGGCGTGTTGCTTCACAAAGGTCTGCCACTCCCAAGCAGTCTCGCTAGCCGGGTCGCCCCTCCACACGTACGTGTGCGCAACAGTCATCGTCCCTATCGCTGGCACACTTTCAGCCCTCTGTGCGGAGCCATTTCTCACATTCCTCACAGCTTCTCGATGCTGGGCGATGAGTGGTATGACTCTCTCGGAAGTCAGATGCTCGAACAGAGTCGGCAAGGATTCCAGAAGTCGCTCGTCATTGGCTTGAGGGTTTCCCAGGTCTATAAGCTCCACGGCCGTTCTCGCGTACTCGTCTCCCTCAAAAGTGTCCAGTGCTAGTACATCGGCAGCGCTGAGACCCTTGACCAAGACGCCTCTGGTGTAGCTGTGCGAGTTCCTGTTGCTTTTGGCGAGCAGGTCTGGTAAGTCGGGCAAAGACACTAGGGCTGGGTACTCGGCATGATGCACCCTTTGAGCCGTGTAGCCGGGAAGTATGGCGAGGGAAACGGGCAGGTCACACGCTCGACCTATGATCCGTCTAAGCACAGCGGGATGAACTGGTCGCAACAGACGTGAGAAGAGGTCAACACGTGAGGCTACCGCAGATAGACTCGAAGCGAAGCTTCGTTACTCACTCAGTGTGCCGTAGAAGAACGCATCGTGTTTGCCATCCAATGGCGGCTGCTGAGCTGACCGGTCAACCAGTGCTCGAAGAGCTGCCATCTCAGCCTGCTGTTAGCAATACGAGGGTCGCGTGAGTGGTAACTCAGCCTTGTCCAGCGACTTGCAAAGCACGCGGACGCGGATTGCTAGGGACGGTGATAGTATGGATGGGCAAAGGCAAGGTCGTCAATCCATCTTGTTTAGACTCAGCAGAATTTGGATGCAAAGGCGCGGGCGACGAGTCCGAGTCACGAGTGGAGGCACGCAGCTCGTCAAGGAGCGCGTGTGCACGTTGAACGCCAGCCTTCCTGTGCAGTCACGAGTCGAAGTTCTGGTGCGTGCCTCTCGCACAGGCTCTGCTCTCAGCAACCATCACACCCTTGCACGATGATGGGGTATGCAGCTCCCAGTCTGCATTCACTGATTCATACCAACATCTGAAGGGCCTTTAATGGCCAGGCCCAACGCCCATCAACACGTCCAGCCCTTGCGGGCATGCCTTCGAGTCACCTCAGCAGCGAGCCACGCTTCAGAGTTCACCTGAGCTTGTTGAGTGAGCAACCCAAGGTCGACACCGACACAAAGAGCTCAGAGGTACTTTTCCCGGTGGATCACGACGTGCTATCGAGAACAGCGCAACTGTTGCATCCGTTTCGTGCTCGAAGGTGCCCGAAAGGTGCGCAAAGGCAGCCTTCCCACCTCAGTCCCCTCGAGGAGGCCAAGAAGGCTGAACCTTCACACGGAGGCAAGGAGGCACAAAGAGGCTTCAGAGGAAGTGTTTTGCGTATTGAGGCCGTCGATTGTGTGCTGTCCCGTGAGGACGTCACCTCTAGAGAGGCGAGCATGGCATCGGCCGAAGCGTCCACGTCTGCAAGTACTGTCCCCGCAGGCGCATCTGCTCAAGTTCAGCATTCACCACCTGGGAACGTTCCTGCGCCATTCTCGGTGGCCGATCTGTGTAACCCTCACCCGTCTGCTTCACCTCCTGCCTCACCGCGCACCGTCGCCGAGAAGAGCGGGCCGCTTGCACGCTGGGAATGGCAAGGCTCGTTTGGAGGAGAGGACAAGGAGGCGAAGAGAAGGGTGCTCGGTGCAAATGCGAAGGGAGACAGCACTCGAGCATTGGAGATACGAGGAGCGGAGGAAGTCGCTTTTGGTCTGGTGCACCTATTTCGTCCACAGTCTTCCAGCGAATCCGGCCCCCCGAATGCGAACGGTCCAGGCACCCCTACTCGGATGACCAATGCGGGCGCGAGTGACCTTGCAAAAGAAGACGCGCCGCCTACGACAGTGCTGACCGATGACAATGAGGAAGATGCAGGTACAATTCTGGCTGTGCTCGGGGTGCCTGCTTATATGCACGCAGCCGACTTCCTGGCCTTTGTCGAAGCCGCTGTTGAGGTCTTTGAGCATGTCCGGATTCTTCGGTGGGTCGATCCGACTCGCGGTCGTTGGGACACCCCCTCTCAGAGCGAGCTGACTCCTTGCGGTTCTTCCGTCATCAGTGAGTCCTCTCCTGGACGCTGCTTGACCCTTATCAAATTTCGGGATGCCTTGGACGCTGAATTCTTCTACAAGGAATTGTGAGTCCCCTTTTCGACTGCTTCTCGCGCGCATAAGTACTCAGGCCTCCATGCTCGGTCTTTTGAACAGCAATGGAGCACCGTTCAACGCGATGCACGTGAGCAATCTGGCATATTTCCAGATATGCTCCTTATTGAGCTTGCGTTGAGCCTGACAAAACTTTTCACTGCCTGCAGCCCAACGATCTCTGTCGCGTGGTATATGTGACAGCCGTGACCATCAGTGCTGGGTTTGGTCAGCCCATGCTTGCGCTCGCCAACACGGATCCCTGGCCTCTACCAATCTGCCGTCCAGCCGGCGCTAGCGAGTACTCAGAGTACGAGCTCCCCACTTGTCCAGTATGCCTAGACCGCATGGACAGCAGCGTCACGGGATTGATGACAGTGACATGCCAGCATTCGTTTCATTGTGCTTGTCTCGGCAGATGGGAAGACTCCAGGTGCGTCCGATGTCGATGCCACGGAGCGTTCGATCCCGCTGAGCCGCCCACCGCGGATTCACAGGTGCCCTGTATGCAGATACACCCAATCGAGACGTCGCGGAGCAGCGGGACCACGAGGCTCGGCTGCTATGGCTCATAGCAGCCTAAGACCCGACGAGGAAGAAGAGGAGGGTGCCGAACAAAGTGCATGCGCTTCTTGTGGCACTCAAGATGATCTTTGGGTCTGGTGAGTCCTGGCGCGGCTGCCAAGAGCCCGGCTTTGCCAAGCTGATGATCCACAATCCCCGATCACCCCACCAGTTTGATATGCGCTGCAGTGGGATGCGGTCGCTACAAAGGCGGCCATGCCCACGGTCACTTCGACTCGACGGCCCATGCCTATTCCCTCGAGGTATGTGTGATGTCTTCTTCTCACATGCTTCGCTGCTAACCCTTGGTAAACTCTTACACTTTGTCACGACAGCTGGAAACGCAACGCGTATGGTCTTATGTGGAAGACGCCTACGTGCACCGTTTGATCCAGTCCAAAGCGGACGGCAAGCTGGTAGAGCTCCCGTCTGTCAGAGGCTCGCAAGCTGGCGCATCTGCTCAAGTCCATGGTAGCCACGCTGGCAACGATGGACTTGAAATGCCCAGCAGACGCGATGAGAACGAGAAGATGGAGGCGATGGGCGCAGAATTCTCGATGCTGCTCACCAGCCAGCTCGATACGCAGCGAAGGTAAGCAAGGCCCTGAGCAGAGCATGAGTCGAATGCGGGCCATCTCACTGACAGCTTCAACATTTGGCCGTAGCTACTACGAGGACCAGCTACGCGGCGTGCAGTCAAAGCTCTCCGATGCGCTCTCAGCCCTAGATAACGCGCACCTGTCGGCAGGAGAGACCTCAACTCAAAGCGCAACGCTCCATACGCGGATTGCAGGCCTCGAGAAAGAGCTCGACGTGTCGCGATCATCTGCGAGCAAGAGCGAGGCGAGGATGCAAAAAGCGATAGAGATGGCTCGCAAGCTTGAGAAGGATTTCCAGGCAGAAAAGAGCGTGGGCGAAGGCTTGATGAGGAGGTTGGAAAAGAGCAGAGCCGTGGAAGATCGACTCAGCCACGATGTCGAAGAGCTGAAAAAGCAGAATGCTGACTTGCAAGATCAGATGAGAGACTTGTGAGCTCATTTCCGCGATGCGCGCAAGCATACCGCTGCGTTCCACTCACACTTGCTTTCGACGACGACTTGCCCATCAGAATGTTCTTTGTTTCGGCACGAGACAAGATTGCTGCTGAAGAAAGCAATGGCAACACCGAGTCTGCTTCTCGCCACGAAGCGGCTGGAGGGGATATCACCGGCATCGCGGAGCCGAAGAAGGCCAAGGCGAAGAAGAAGAAGAAGAAAGCTGCCAGCAACAATGTGAATACCGATCCAGGACCTTTTGAAGAGGATGCGACAGTCCATGCCTCTAGCACGGCGCGACAAGGAGAGGAAAAGGAAGAGTAGGCATGCGCAGCATGCGCCGCTCTCTTCTGCGCTTTTCGCACATGTCTACCAGCACATTTGTATCATACCAGCAAATCTCCACAGCTTCGAAGAGCAACGCAGAACTTTTCATTCAGGATAAAGACGGCTATCGAGTGACGCTATGCTATTGAAATGAGTAAGCTGGCGGAAATTGCACATAAGCAGAATGCCTCGTTCACTCGACGCCCTTGGCAACCTTGAAATCCGAGTCTGTCTTGTCCTTCACCTCTTGAACAGTGACTCCCTCTTGAAGTTCGATGAGGGTCAAACCTCCCTGTTCTGTGGATCTGTCGACGTCAAAGACGCAAAGATCGGTGATGATTCTAGAGACGCATCGCGAGCCCGTCAAGGGCAATTTGGTCTTGCTAACAATCTTCGATCGGCCATTCTTGTCGCAGTGATCCGTCAAGACGACGACTTTGGTGTGATCGGGCGAAGATACGAGGTCCATGGCTCCTCCCATGCCCTACAGGATGCGGTGGGAGCGCGTCAACAATCGCGTCAGGGTACACCAAGACGCTTCGTGGCGGACCGGCAGCTCACCTTGACGAGTTTGCCTGGAATCATGTAGTTGGCCAGATCACCGTTTGCGCCTACTTGGAGAGCGCCAAGCATGGTAACATCCACATGACCTCCCCTGATCATTCCGAAGCTTTCCGAGCTCTCAAACGTCGCAGCACCTGGCAAAAGCGTCACCGTCTCCTTTCCAGCATTGACCAGATCGCCATCCAATTCTTCCTTGGTCGGGTAAGGTCCCATTCCCAGAATACCATTTTCTGAATGAAGGACCACGTCCACACCTTCGGGCAAAAAGGAAGGCACGAGAGCTGGCATGCCCACACCCAGATTCACGTAGTCGCCATGTCGCAACTCCTTGGCCGCTCGAGATGCGATGATCTCTCGCCGTCTTCTTGCTTCCGCCTTCTCGTCAGATGCTGCAGATGAGCCCGAGGAGGTGGAAGAGACGGACGAAGCGGAAGACTTGACCTCGTCACGAATGGTGATCACCTCGATGTCCTTTGGTGCAGTTGACTTCACAATGCGATTCACAAAGATTGAAGGGAGGTGAATGGTGTTGGGATCCAGTTGGCCAGTTTCGACAATCTCCTCGGCCTTGCGTCGTGATGTCATCGAGAGGTCCGACGGAAGGTCGTCAATTCAAGTTTGTCCGCACAGAGCTTCATCGCGCCGCGGCATCGTTGATTCGGACTGACTCACTTCGACGATGGTCAGCTTTGCATTCTTTGCAAATGCTGCGCCAAAGTTGGATGCGGCGTACCTGCCCGGCGCGCGCACAGTCGTCGTCCAGTAGATGTCAGCGCGAAGGGGCAAGCAAGCATGGCACGCGCCTACACTTTCGCTCACCTGAACATGCAGTTGCCCATCTTGTCCGCCTTCCACACGTGCACGAGCGCCACATCGGCGTGGATGGCTTCTTCGAGCACGTAACCTCTGCCATTGAAAGTGCGCGTCTCTCTAGGCTTGGCAAACTCTTTGGGCTTTGGAGCGCTCTTGTCCCCCTCTTCCCTCGGCTCGTAGTAGCTGACCAATTCTCCCGTTTGCACAGCCGTGCCGAAACCAGTGGGGGTGTAGAAAGCTGGTATACCAAACGCGCCAGCTCTCACCCTCTCCACCATGGTGCCCTGAGGTGTGAGTTGCAATCCCACCTTGCCGGCCAGATAAGCGGCTTCGAAGAACTTGTTGCTACCAATAAAACTGCTAATCATACTCTTGACCTGACCCGTATGCAACAACTTTCCCAATCCCTTTTCTCCAACCCCCGCATTGTTGCTCACGCACGTCAGATCCTTGATCGCTGGGTTTTGTGAAATGGCGCCGATGAGCGTGTCGGGCGTACCGCAGAGACCGAAGCCGGAAGAGAGGACGATGGAACCGGGTCGAATGTCGCCTACTGCTTGAGCGGCCGATGCGTACACCTTGTCCACTGCTCCTGACTCTGTAGTCGTGGAAGCGAATCGCACAGAGAGCGGAGCAAACAGCTTTGAAGCTTTTGAGGCGCTGGGAGCTGCATTGCGCTGGGCTGCGCAACGTGCAAATTGACGCAACATGGCTGTCCAAAGTGTGCGACGTGGATACGGGCTCGTTGCAGAGAGCTAGCTGTATGGTGGTCGCCCCTGGCAAATCTTGTGGAGGAAGGGGGCAAGATGGATGTGTGAGAAAGAAGAGGAGCTGAAGATTTCGAGTGCGCGCGTGTGGGTGCGTGTGAGGAGCTGGCGTGATGAGGTTGCTGGATGGTATAAGGTGATGAGCGGCACGAGTGAGAGCGGGGGCGGCGCATACATGGAACCCTCCGAACCCTTCTTCGCTCGCACGCACGCTCCTGTTATATACATTTTCGCACTCAAGCGGCGTCCCTTCTCACTCGCCACTCGCTCGCAATCCACTCAGACTCTCCTCGCTGGTCTTTTCATCGTCACTGCAAGCCACTCAGACTCCCTCCCACTTGCCTTGGCCGCTACACCCGCGCATCCGACGCAAGCCAAGCTTGATGCTATGCTATAGCCAGGCTGACCTGCCATTCACTCAGACCGCCAGATCACCATCGCAGCGACCCCGCGCCACGCACAACAGTACGCTCCAGTGGCTCGATCCACCTCGACTCTCGCGCCGCTATATGTGCGGTGCGGCAGTCACGGCAGGCTAAACTTTGCTCCGCAAACGCGAGTGCTCTCCGCTGGACGCTCCGATCGGACCGGCGCGCCCGCGCCGGGGGCCGCGCGAGGGAATCGTCGGGCTTGTCCGGCCGATCGCATGCCTTCTTCGCATTGTGCGCATGTGCAGTACAGTATAAACGATGAGGATTGGACAACGCGACTTGTTCCCTCCATTCCCTCTCTCCATCCTGCCGATCTCGCATCGTCCACACGGAAGAGCATAGGTCGATAAAGTATCTTCTTATTGAGCAAGTCACATCTTTGCGCTGCCGTCGACGCTGCCCAACGATCCACCTTGCCCATTCTAACGCGAAGAATTTGCTACAACGCCACGCCACGCATCATCTAGCGTGATGACCATTCCACACGTGCAGGTGCCATGAAACAGTTGCAAAGCAATGCCCGATGGCGCTCAGCGACATACAATTGGTTGAGCGAAGCGTGGTGGTAACAGCTTGGAGCTATAAGAGCCTTCTGGGCCGGTCAGATCGACCTGCCACTTTGACGGAAGTGAATGGCAAAAGAGGCAGCTCATCGAGAAGTTGAGTAAGATGAAGACGTGAACGGTCGGTCGGCGCCCGCATGGCGCGAACTAGCAGGGCGCACAACTTCTGGCGCTTCTCTGCCAGGAAGAAGTAGCCTCACGTCGCAATGGGGCCATTGGCACATCTGAACCCTCGCCACGTATTTGGGCGATAGAGAGAGAGAGGGGGGGGGAGGGGCGAGGGAGAGAGAGAGGGAGGGAGAGCATACTGGGCATCAGCAGCGTGCAGTCTGATCGAGTGACTCCAGCATTGGTTTGACGCTGCTGCACATCTTCCCACTCACAGCATCGTGAATGGTCTCGGGCCTGCCACCGTGCTGCATCGCGTGCTCGTGATCTAGATGCGTCCAGCCTCGCAAAGGGACGAATGTGCCAACGGGTCGATTGTGGGGTGGTAGTGTGAAGTGAAACTCTACCTATTGTGTACAAAGGGCCGCAAAGGCGTCTTGTCAGCTCAAAGAAGGCTAGGCGGGACGAGGACTGCACTCTTGAACGCACCGCAGGGCTACATGCATTCGTGCCAGCGTCGAAGGGAGGGATGGGAGCGAGCAGGGGGCGCAAAAGTCAGTCATGTTCTTCATGAGCTCTCGAAGATGCGTCTTGACGGTTCTATTCTGATCGCAGCCACTTACATCTCTGGGTGGGAATGCACTGCAGGAGGCGCTGCTAGGACCGCTGCACGTGTAGGCCTCTGAGCAGGAGGCAAGTGCTCGAGGAGCTCACGCAACCCGTCAAGTCCACCCGGCTTTCGCGTGAACGGCAACGCGCGAGATGAAGGAGCGATAAGGCACAGGGAGAGGGCCAGGAGAGCGGCTGGCCTCCAGGATATGCACATCATTGGAATTCGCATCTTTTACCAGATCCAGCGATTCTCGCCGAGTCAAGTCGGTCGACGCTGGCGGCGAGAAGGACAATCTTGAATGCTGTTACTTGTGAAGAAGGAGCAAAAGTGTTATGGTCACCGCTCAGACCAAACAAGAGGTTTTGGGGCAAGGCCGGTCGAGGGTTGCAGTACAGAGTTCCCTCGTCTTGCATTTGTACCTGAAGCTGAGTGCCGTGCTGGCCCTGCTGGTGGCATTCCCGCTTCGAGAAATCGAGCCATGAAACGCGACCCCACGAAATCGAGCGATGAAACGCGACCCCACGACACCGCCACGCCCAACGCGGGATCGAATGAACTTTGAAGCGGTTCGCGTGGCCACAACAGGCCCACTCACCGCCCATGCTCTGCGGCACGCGTGAAGAGC